GAATCTAGCAAAATTGTTAATTGCTGTTATGGTCTGAATTGTTTTAGGAAGCTCCAGATCTCAGTAGCACTGGTGTCATGTCAATTTTTACGCCTCCTCCAATACTCTTGCCATAAAGTCATGAGAATAACCTGTCATCTCGTGTAGAGTCCTCCTTTGTGCAGCAGATACACATTCAACCAGAACGTGTTGTGACTGACATGAGGCCCTACAAAAGCCCCTCAGTGGCTGACTGAAGATTTTAAATAAGTGTGAGAGCCACAACTCAGTCAGGTGCTTCTGGGATTCGTGACATTGCCCTGGTGAAACACCTGGTTGACAGGTGAAAGACTCTTTTTTTCTTAAAAATATTGCCAGACTTCCATGACCAGCTTTCAGCTGGTATGACGTAGCTACCCATGTTGTTGTAAAGTAGTTAACACCCTCTTCTCTTTCAAGAAATTAACATGATAGCAACATGCTTATCTAGTAGATTAAGTGCAATTGTAATTTGTATAATATGGACACCAGAAAGGAAAACAGTTCTTTAACAACAGTTACATTTTTCATTCCCTAATAATACATTTTATTCATAGTAGCTTATTGAAAAAATCAACACTGTATAATGATACAGACATAAAACACAAAGAACTCAAATAAAATCACAAAGCACACTGACCAAACATAAAAAATAGACATTAAAATAAGCTTTTAAGTGTGAATTACAAATGTCCTATCTCAAAGTGTGGAATGAGTTCCAAAATCATGGTACTGCCTGGGAAGAATAAAGCAACCTGAATTAGCAGATTTCGGATAAGGTTTGGAATATACTGTACTTGTGCAATGAATCCATAAGCTGTCCTTGAACTAGAATATTTGGTGCTTCATACTGTATGTAAGCTTAAAAAATCTTAAATCTTAAAATCACACATTTCACAGGGAGCCAGTACGTTTTAGGATGGAATGTTTTTTATCAGCACAGAATTCTGGGCCTATTCAGTATCCTAGAAGAATACACAAGTAAGTAAAGCATTACAGTCATCTAATCTTGAAATTAAGCTGTGTATCATTTCTTCAGCGTCAGATTGACAAAGGAAGGATCTTAGCTTGGCAAAGCTTTACAGAAAAGATACCATTACTAAAAGTAAAAAGATGCCAGTGTGACCTGTCTGATATGTGCTTGAAATGACAGCACAGAGTGAAAAATAACACTGAGGTATCTAACTTGAGTCCCACAGCTATTACCTAAATTAGCAGCCATTGTCAGATATGCATCAACAACAAAAGACAAGCCTGCATGAGAAAACAAAGAACTTGCACAGGTATCATAAACAAAAAGCCTTAGGAAACTCCAGTATAAGTTGTCTGTAGATCTATCTGATTCTTAAGTTTGTCTGTTTCTAGCTTATTTCAAACAGTTCCTGCTCTCCTCAATTTGCCTTAAGAAAAATCAACTTCTGCTCTAAGGAAAGACATTTCTGTGTTTGGTGTTACATTTATTATGAAAAGAAATCTGTGGTATGGGGTTCCTTTTCTGATACTCTTCTGCTGCAGAAAATGTTGGAATTAGTTTTCACAGTGGACCTGAAATACCTGAAAAGACTCCTTGAGTAACTTATGGTTCTGTGACAGCATTAAGACACCTTCTCCCTAAGACACCTGTGTCTCCCTAAGCTGATTTTTCCAGTTAAGAGAGTTTCTTAACCTCTTCCAATCATTGGAATTAGGTTCCTAGTGTCTTCAAAGAAAATGAACTGTACCCTTGAGATGCAAATATCCAAAGAGAAACCACCAGAGAGTATTGGGCTTATGGTGAGGGTATGGGGGCAATATGTATCTGTTAAATCTTTCCACCTAGCACAAATTACTTTATACAGTACAGTATATATATGCAACAACCCTTTTTTTATGTACCTCTGTGTTAATTGTTGGATTCTTTTTGAGAACTTGTGAACACTGCAAGTGCTATTGGTTTTGCTTGTAATTATGATCTTATACATATATTTCTTCCAGTTTTTGAACCATTCAGTTTTTAAAACTCTAATACAGTAGCTACAGTTTCAGGTGGTAGGAAAGACCGATTAAAAGCAATACGCAATGTTCCAGAAGTTTCAAACGAGAGGTTCATGAGTCCAGTTGGCTCATGTAGCCTATTTAGTAGTTAATAGTTAATTTATCCAAGAACCTCATTCAGCAGTTTCTTTTTCAGAAGCCAGTGAATTGGCTTCAGCAAAAATGGACGAGTAGCTCGTTCCCTCAAACACTAGACTATTCCTTTGTCATTATAATGTTGGACTTTCAGATTTTTTTGGGAGGAGGGGTAAAGGGTCAAGGTTGTCTTCTTGAACAAAGTATTTTCTATATGCAGCTGTAAACAAATGCAACTTTTAAATTTCAGCAAAAATTATTTGAATACAGGGCTTTTTTAATTCCTTTCTACTGTAATATATAGATTATATTATGTGTCATATATACTATACAAAGGGCTGATGTGTCTGCTGGTTTCCAATCGAACTAATCACTGAATTAACTAAACTAGCTGGATACCAGCTTAATTAGACCAAATTGACAGTTTCTTCCAGCTCTTGAGGTTCTACTGCTTTATAAAACACCTTGAAGGTCCTTGCAGGACCAGGGCTGGATACTCTACCTCTTAAGTTTTTCCTTTTCTTTATTTTCTAGTTTCATGCCTTTCGGATAACCTTGTGGTACAGTACAACTCCTTTAACTAAACTGAACTAAATATTCTGGGACATCATTCTTCATTATGTACTGTAAGGCATAAAGGGAATGATCTGTTGAAATTCATCAGCATTCATCAGCATTACTCTAGCTTCTTTATGCAGGATGAATAACACCATGCTGATTACCAGCAGCTTCCTGAAGACTTTGGAGAAGCCGTTATGACAGGAAAAGATACAACATCAGATAACAGCAAAATCTGAAATTGAAAACTTAGTTTAGTTTAACATTTTGTAAATTAAAGTTTAACATGTAGAAGATCCCCACTTCTGGTAGCATGGGTCAGTCTGTCACACCTTCACTATAAAGTAAATGCGTCAGGCATTCTTACAACAAACACTCTCAACTGTTCATCCTTCCATTTTGTAACCTCCATTTTCAAACCAAGTCTATCGCAGGGCACACATTTTGTTGTACCGTTGACACGAACATGCACACTGACACCAGGGCCAGTTTTCCCAGAAGCCAATTAACCTACCAGTTAGTCTTTGGACAGTGAGAGGAAACCAGAAAACACAGGGAGAACATCCTAACCACTGTGCAACCTTTATCATTCAGTCACAAAGTACACTAATTCAACCCACATTCAAACCTAAATCCTCCCCAATTAAGCCTGTCTGTGAGTGCTTACTGGACAATTATACAATAGTAGTTCAGGTAGGTAGCTGCGTCAGCATGTGTAGGCTGCAAAGGAACAGGTAATAGGTTTATTCCATTCTGGAAAAAAGAAGAAAGAAAACACAACGTTTCAGCCGTGGAGCCTTCTTCAGGTGTGAGAAAGACAGGGCAGTAGGCAAAGATAAAGTAGCGGGAGAACAAAGGCTGGGAGAGAGGAGGAGTGAGAGGCGGGAGCAGGGGACAGAAAGAGAGGCCAATCAAGAGGTGTGAAGTCAGAATAGGTGTAGAGAGGTGTAAAATGAAACCTCCAATGAATGGAGAAAATTTAGAAGAAAAGTAGTCTGTCATTAAGAGAAGGGGGAAGGTGTGATCCTAGCTGCAGGATATTATACAATAGTACCACTCAAGTGAACTAATAAACTAATCACATGTCTTCAGGGTCCTATTAGGTGGCCTCTTGTGGCAGGCCTATGGAAATAACAGTCCTTCCATGGGAATACCTGCAAAGCATAATATTGAAAATGGGGCATTATTAAGCACAGAAATCTGCAAACTTGCATTCACCTGTTGAACCTTGGTCACTAACAAAACAGCTGGTTAAACCCTTAGTAATATCTGCTGTAAACAGCAGACAGAAAGTGGTTCAAGGTTCTGGCAAACACTGCCATTTAGAAAAAAAAAACTGCTTCTTTATTTTCTTGGAAAGTACTGTAGCTGGGATTCAAACATCCATCAAACAGACCTGAAAATGTTGCTTAAGGTTTGAATCCTTCCTAGCTGCTTGTGAAATCCTGTGCAGCATAATTCAGTAGGAGCCTTCCACAGATCACGCAGCTGGGCTGGTTGTTTTTGCAGCAGATAACTGCTGTCAAGGCTGGCGATTTTTAATGTGTTGCTGCAGAGAGATGACACTACAAACTTTCCACTGCAGACAGAATTGTTGATCATTTTTTCCATAACTTAACCTTCAAGTAACATTCAGATTTTCTCAGTTTTATTATTATTATTATTACATGTGCTTGGACCAATGCTAATATGCTAACACCACAGGGTTTAAATTATTTGATATGTTTTAAACATTTCTAAGAAATAAACAACATCTAATTGGTTAAAACATATGTTGCAGAATTGTTGGGCTTCATATGTGTTGTTACGTATGAAGGCATTAAAAACCAGTTGGAACCATAAAGATAAATGTCCTATTGACAGTGGCTTACTGACACTATCTTAAGCTTATTAAATCCTTTTACACTTTGCTGACATGCACAGTAGGTGATCGTACAATTTGATTGGTAACACACATTTCAGGCCAAATGAATGAACTCCCTCAGTGACAACTTTTTCTGTAATGTGGATTTTCAGACTGAAAGGAGGATTCATGTGTATGCTATTGTGCAGGAAGTGAACATACAGTAGGAGTTCTAGTAATGTACACTATACAGCACCGTATACATTTCAGAAATACTTTGTTCATCTTTCACCTTTGATAGCTAAAAGTCTTGTTTTATGTTTTGATGTAGCCTATGCAAGTCTCTTAAAAATTCAATTCACCAAAGACATTAAGCCTCCAACAGCAGCAATCCTATGCCTCCATGTTTAAGCTACCATTAACAGAGCGCAACTTTATTTGAGGATTTCTTTTTTTTTCTTTCCTTCTATAGCTACCTCATCCCTGAACTCACAGCTCCAGCACTTGCAACAGTTGCAGCAGCTGCAGCACCAGCAACACCAACAGCAGCAGCAGCAGCAGCCGCCACAACAGCAACAGCAGCACCAAGGTCAGACACACCAGCCACCCCAGAGCCAGCAGCCGTCGCAGCATCAGCAGTCTCCTCCAAGCCAGCAGTCGTCCCACAGCCAGGCACAGCCGCCACAGACCCAGCCGGCTGCTGTGTCACCGCCCCAGAAACAGAACCAGTCGCCAGGACAAGGCCTGCCCTCACCTCTCACCCCGCCCACCCCTCTCCAGGTAATAACAATAAGGCTCTCTTGCATTTACACTTTTCACCCCGAAGGATTTCAAAGAATTGTACCTGTAGGAGGGGATCCCCTGCATCTGCCACTCACTGTAAAAGTGAATCTCCAATCTCCAGTCTCCAATCTTGAAGTGCAGCGCTCACTTTGGTGATGCTACTCAGCCGTTCAGGTAAAGCACTGAGTAATTGCTTCACCAGTTAAGGGGGGACTTTGGGAGGACAGATTGTATAAACATCTGATTTAATTTAACCAGGATACCAGGTTAACACTCCTACTCTTGCACACAGTACCACCAGGTCTTTAATGACCCAGTAATCAGGATCTTGGTTTAATATCTGGGGGGTGATACCTATTGCAGTGTCTGCAGCCATCATACTGGAGCATCTGGAAAATCTGGGCTCAGGGGAAGGGTGCCACCTACTGATCCGTCGTTTGTCAGAGCTCTCAACTCTGGGTGCTCATTAGAAAGCAAAAAACTATAATAGCACCTTGTGTGTCGGTCTGCTCTCACCCAGTACACTTTAACGCCTGTTAGCATCTGGCTCTGTGCTTTTTTATGCCTGGGCTGGTTAAGCAGGTGGACACACATCGATCACAGAGCATGGTTCTAGTGATTTTGAAAAGCGGAATCTCTCTTTGCCATTGCCCTGCAGTTCGAACTGCACAGGTTCCTGCTGAGACAAGGTGCTGATTTCCCATATTTGCAGAAGGTGCTCCCTGCAGTGAGTTTGCATCTTCCACCAGGCAAATCAGACTGTAAGATCAGAGATCTCTCTTCAGACTTTTCTTCTTCCCCTATAAAATCTATGTTGTGAGGTGCAGCAAAACACCCTGTGGTCAAAATGGTTACTTATCCTATGCAAAACAAGTATTACTATACTTTACTATACTACTGTATACTAGACAGTTACACAATAGCAATAACAGTAACAGTAATAACATGTAATAACATAACATAAATAACATGTAATCCAGTAATCAAAACTGTGCAAAATTCCGCAAACAAAGAAAATATAACAGGACAAAAACAGTGCAAGGTAATTCTTGGAACAGTGCAAAAAATAGTATGGTTAAAAGTAGTATGGTTAATTAATAAATATTAAATATTATTATGCCTGTTACAGTTTTACTGGGCTATCGAGGGGACAGTACAATTTCGGCTTACATGTGTGTGTGGTGGTGTAGGAGTACAGTAGTTGTGGGTACAGGAGGACGTTAGGAGAGATCATAATAAGGTGGAAGGGAGTGGGGGCGTCACCAACTTGACAGCTCTGGGGAAGAAGCTATTTTGGAGTCTAGTTGTGTGCGACTGGAGTGACCGGAACCTTCTGCCAGATGGTAGGGGAATAAACAAGTTATGACTGGGGTGAGGGGGGTCAGACATAATTTTGGTGGCTTTTTTCAGACTCCTGGTGTTGTATATTTCCTGGATGGATGGTAAGGCATTGCCGATGATGTGTTGGGCAGTTTTGACCACCCGCTGTAGTGCCTTATGGTCAGATGCGGTGCTGTTGCCGTACCAGACTGTGATGCAGCTGGTCAGTATGCTCTCCACCGTTCATCTGTAGAAGTTGGTGAGGATCAGTGGATGTAGGTGTATTTTCTTCAGCCTTCTCAGGAAGTACAGCCGCTGTTGTGCCTTCTTGATGAGACTGGAGGTGTTCAGTGTCCATGTAAGGTCCTTAGAGATGTGAATGCCTAGGAATTTGAAGTTATTCACCATCTCCACCGCAGACCCTTCTATGTAGATGGGGGAGTGAACTTTTCCTTTTGGGAACATTATTCATTATAATTTATTAATTCTGATCACAGCTGCTGTGAATGCTTCTACAATTTGAGGTCTGTAAATTCTGGTTTATTGTAAAACTTCATCATAAGTGCAGTGGTATACACAAGTCCAATGCCTCACATGATTTACAGAAGTGCTTCCTAATTTTAAGGGGGGAATTGTAGGGATAGCTGTGCTCATTTTCATAGTGCTTCTGAATCCTGCTTCTCTCCTGTTACTTCAGTAAAATAAAAATTTAAATTTCAAGACTGTTTTGTATGTCTGAAATCACTCTTTTTTCTCTTTAGTATTAGTAGAATGTAAAATTGACTGTTCAGAATTGGACAGCTACTTGTCATCTTATTATTAGAGAAAACCTCAGGGATGAATGAGGACAAGGTGACCAACCTGCTTTTCAATCTTAAAGGTCAAGCCACTGCAGTGATCTAAAGGATAATAAAGTAATCAAGACATCAGCTGCTGGATAAGTATAAAATATCCCCTCTATCAGAGAGGTAGCTATGCACTGAAAGACAGTGCCTAACTAAGTTAACATGCAATAAACTAAAATCATGAAAATCAAAACAGAAGCAAGACAGGCATAAAATCAGAGTTTGTCAAAAGCTGTATGATCAGTGAATTTTTAGATATTTACAATATCAAGCATTGGCTCAGTATTTGCAAAGCGCCAAAACTAAATTAAACTGTCTAAATTCAAAACGGACTTCTTAGAATCAACAGTGGAACATGAGGTAGATGCCCAAGTGGAAAATAAGAGGAGCTGAGAACAGGAGTCACTTCTTTACACAAAGGGTTGTTGGGATATGGAACAAACTTCCCAACCAGGTTGTTTGATGCTGACTGGTTTAACAAATGTCTGGAAGAGATTCTCAGATCAATTGACTAGCAGCTATCAAATGAGCTAATTACAAAAGTGCAATTTTTTGCAAACGGCTTTAATGTTTTAGCACACTATTTCAAATTAATGTTTAACATTACAGACATTCATTAAAAGCTAAAGATTGAAGGTCACCAAAGGTAATTGCCTTTATAAATTGTAAGTGGGTGGAGGGTGGGAGAAATTAAGGCAAATATCAGAAAGGTCTCAAAACCCTAAATCTCGTCTTGATTTGAAATGGATTTTATTTCTATAATTGAAGCCACTTCTTCTGAACATTCATTTAAATCAATCATGACTTCATAGATCTAAACCTTTAGTGTACCATTAATATAAAAGAAAGGCACATCCAATTTTTAAATGTTTCGTAGACAGTTTAGCACATATTTGTGGGATATTTGTGTTGAACACTGGGTATATGCTGTCTGTAATGAAGATTCAAAAGAGACATGATTCCAATTCAATTTGAAGCATACAGAGAAGGCAGACAGGTAGGCAGTCTAAGGTAGAGAGAGATACATATCTTCATACAGTGTACTGTATGTACTGTATAGTATGTATATCAATCAAATTGAGTTAAGGACATTGAAAATTAATAAGTAAGATCAGAAAACAAACAAGAAAACTGAGAGTGATGGCATTTAAAATGTTTTTGAAAGGTCTTTAAGGAACCTCACCTTAAGAAAATAAGGCTTCCATTACTTACAGTACGTAATGAGAGTTCTGTATTAAAGAACCTCCTTTAATCTAATAAAATGAAAAAGATGTGGCTGTCTGGAAGTACTCCAAGAGATGCTGTGAAGTTCAATATCCATCTCTTTCAAACTATGAAGCAAAATGAAGATCAAAACCAGTAATGAATTTCATGTACACTTTAGTTCGGGTTGAAGGGGAGTAGTGGCAGTGGTTGTGGTATTGGTGACAATGTTGGGAGGGGGAGGGTTTTGTGATCGTTGAAACTGACAGACTGAATTTGATTGCTGAATATTTTCAAGCTTTTGGTAAGGGCTCATCCTTTTACATTATTCACAGTCTGTCTGGGAAATATTAGTTTAGAACAAGCCAGCCCTGAAATGATTGTCAAAAAAGGACAATAATTCAAAATGATGATTGAATTTGTTTTGAGAAATCCGAAAGATAACAAATATTGTTTCTGGAAAATGCTCATCCGCTGTCATGTCCTCCGAAACAATTGAAATAAAAAATAAGTAGTTTAGGCTTTCTCCTGCTTGAGATTGCTTCAGTGGCATAAGGAAAATTAATAGCCACAGTATATTGCATTGTGGATTATAATGTCCTGAATGCCCCTTTGTACAATAAAGGCATGATCCGACAGGAAGAAAACCTAATTAGGATCTATTTCATTATAATTTCTGAAAGACGTTCCACGTCCAAATAGATTATGTCTATACAGTAGAAGTTACACTGAGGCTGTCAGGCCCCATTAATATATAAAAAAGGTACAGTTCTAGGGTTAAACCCTTTCAGATGAGTATTGCTGCTAAATCTGATTTGTTCTGTACATTTTTTTTTTGCTTTAATACTCAGAAAGGGAGATAAATGGTCCTGCAGTAGATAAATAATGACTTTTTATAGAAAAACACTAAATCAATCTATCACAGCACACACATTTTCAGAAAAAAAATATAATATAGACAAAGACATCATAGCAAAACTGAAAAAAATATTTCAGAATTGACATTCAGTGTACACTTAATATTTTCCTTGAAAGATTAGTTCTAACTATTCAGTGTATTCAGTACAGCATTTAACCTTGTTAATGTTATGTTTCTACATAAATCTCTGGTTATTTTCAACCCACTGATGCAAAATCACTTTTATTTGGCTTGCAAAACTGGACACATAGCTCTCCAGAGGCTGCCTGACTGCCAGAGGACACACATGACCAAGACTTATAGCTATAGCTTCCAAACCCAAAGTACAACAGCGCTCAATCTGTCACAAGAATCACTGAAAACTGGCAGAGGGATAACATAAGACTGGCACTGGGATCACTCAACACTTCGCCAAACTCTGGCATGTAGAGTGAACAGTGATTCAAACGGTATTCAACCTATTTCCAGGCTATTGTTTCTCTACAAACCTTTTTTTTCCATCCTATGCTACCCTCACAATCCCAAAATATGATCACAATCTGAATTTAAAGGTCTTTCTTTATTCCAATTCACCTGCGATATGGTATGAAAACTCAAAGTTAAAATAAAATAATTTCAATTAGAAATAGAAACCTGAGTGTCATATGATCACTGTTATGTGGCTTGCGCTTGTATCAGTATGTTATGAAAATATCTTGTGATCAGTTCAT